GTGATTAGGTGTCCCAGATTGTTTCCTGTCTGTTGTTTTGCTGTAGTAATTTTAGAGTTTTTTAATACTGGTAGCCAGATTTTATTCATTTTCATGGTATCTACTTTGAATTGGATTATATGGCAGTGTAGACTCAAATAATCCAGTTCAAAGCAGATAATATGGATTATGTGCCTTCAATAATCTGGATTATATGGCAGTGTAGAAGGTGCTTCGATGGGTTTCCATCAAACCCCGGTCTCCAGAGTCCAAATCCCATGTTAAAACCACTATAACATCCTGGCTCTATGCTAGCTAGAAGCAATCCTTCTGAACTGTTGTACAGCTGCTTTTGAATGCCTCGCGGGGTGCAAATTCGGAGACAGAACCACTTAAGTGGGTGCACTTATTTCCCCCAAATTAATAGTGTCCACAGACTCCATGCAAATAAGTAGCGGAAGACGTTTTGCTTGATTTTAGAAGTGATGGAGTTCTGAAGAAGCGATAAAGGCCAACCTGTAGCACGCAATTACCCAAAGACAGAAGGAGGCAAGAGAGATGTAGCAAGGAAACACATGGGGAAAGACTAATGGAAAGCAATACTAATTGACGGATGTGGTGCTTTGCGGGGCAATATTTTAGAAAGAGCAAAATGCAGCCAATGACATCTTCCCCATTATATCTTAACAAGATCAGGTTATCCTGCATGGGAGACTACAATTATACCGGCTGTGATCGGCACAGCTTGGAGGCTAAATCTTTTCAATATATTGACTAGTTTCAGCTTTTTAAATAGGATATTGATTTATTCCGCTTCAGGAGAAGGAGCTACACAGAAGAGCATACCCACACGTTAGCCCATTGTGAATTTATGTTCCTCATTCCCATTTTAAATGGGGGAAATAGCCCTACAAGCTACACTAATGCCGATGGTATTTTCAAACTGCAGGAAGACGACTGCGAGGCAATTTCCTCTTTTCTTCGCCTAAGCAAAAATGCATCAGGAATAAACTACAATGGGGGGGGGAGGAGAAAAGAAAAATAATGAAATAAAAGACAATTCAGTCCCAATGAAAGGAAGGAAGGGCTTCGGCTTGAGGATAAAGCACCAATCTTAGAGGCAGTAAATCCTCGGTTCGGTCTGAAAAGATAACACAGACCTAGATGGAATGACAGCCTGGCATTTTATACTACACCAAAAGGAAGTGGCATCAAGGTTGACTTCTGGTCACTTCTTGTTGGGAAAAAAAGGGGTATCCAAAAATGACAAAGTTGTATTGTAAGAAGTGTATGGGCAATTTTTTTAATCACATTATTTTGGGGATGCAATGAGGAAGGAAACACATTCTCATAACCTTCCACACTTGCACACCTTTGTTATGGGAATATGAAAACATTGTGGATTTTCAGATATTGCAGAACTTAAAATCCCAGGAGTCTCAATTTCAGTTCCTGTTATGGACCAACAATATGAACTGGCCAACGGAACCAACATAGAAAACGTTCCATGTTCTCTACCATTTTTGGGGACAATTTGAGATAGGGAACCTGGGATTTTGTTTGGGATACATTTTGAAAATGAGTTAAGCTGACCTGCATTTCCTGATCTAATGCGTAAATAAGAATGCAATCATCCTATCCTTTTTTTTTGCAAGGAGCCCCCGGTGGCGCAGTGGGTTAAACCCCTGTGCCGGCAGGACTGAAGACCGACAGGTCGCAGGTTCGAATCCGGGGAGAGGCAGATGAGCTCCCTCTATCAGCTCCAGCTCCTCATGCGGGGACATGAGAGAAGCCTCCCACAAGGATGATAAAAACATTAAATCATCCGGGCGTCTCCTGGGCAACGTCCTTGCAGGTGGCCAATTCTCTCACATCAGAAGCAACTTGCAGTTTCTCAAGTCGCTCCTGACACGACAAATAATAAATAATCCTTCTTTGGCTTTCGAAATTTTGCAAGATGGTTCCTGGTGCAAAAAACTCATGTTATGGGATGAAATGCATTCAAAATGTTTTGACAGTAGAAATGTATCCAGAGTCCAGAATGATAGTTTGACACCATATTAGCTGCCGTGACTCATTGCTATAGAGTAGACATGTGCGTGAAATTCGTTCCTACCATTTCTTTCGTGTCTTCCATTTCTTTGAAAGCATGAAATGGGAACCCCCTTCTCCACACAAAAATCTGCTTTCGTGTGCATCCGAGCTTGCCTCCTTGCCTTGGAAAGACAGTGCAAGTGTGGTGAGGTGTGCAAGCAGGCAGACCCGGAGCTCGGCTACAGGCACGCTCTGGGCCTGCCTGCACACCCTGGCACACACACACTCTCAGAGAATGTGGGAGGGCATGTATGGTTAGGTGTGCAGACAGGCAAGCCTCGATGTTGGCTGCAGGTGCACTCCGGACCTGCCTGCATGCCTTGCCACACATGCACTCTGTTTCCAAGGAGTGTGTGTGTGTGGCAGAGTGTGTAGGCAGGCCAAGAAAGCGAGTGCCTCTTATTCTAAAGTAGAAACAGCAGGTGATAGGTAAGAAGAACCTACACTAGGAAGGGGAACCAGTGGGTGGGAAGCCTCACCACACATGCTCGCTCTCTCTCCCCCCTCCCCAATAATGGTCCAATTTTCGGGCCCCATAACAAAAGAACTGTAAACAATCCTCCCAATTTTGGGAGGCTTACAAAAAATGGATCGGGGCTCCCAATGAATGCTGAGACACGAAATGGGACAAGGTTTCCCCCGAATGAACATGTCTACTATAGAATAGGTTTGTATTTGGATCTACCACAACAAGCTACAGATTCCATAGGATGGAGCTATGGCAGTTAAAGTGGTGACAAATTGCTGGCATTCTGCACAGTGGATGGTCTCTATATGAGTAAGTGTTCCAGGGTGGCCTTTCTTCCGGTGTTGCCATACAAGTACAGTGCATTCACGTTGCCTAGAAAAGGGTGTTGTACAATAATAAATAATAATAATAAACTTTATTTATACCCCGCCACCATCTCTCCAATGGGGACTCGGAGCGGCTTACATGGGGTCAAGCCCAGACAACATGTTACAGCAAAATAAAACCAGCAAATACAGCAAATAAAACCTTTTGGACAATAGCCCAAAAGGGCCTAGAAATAGTGGTCTAGGGACATTCGTAGAATCAGCATATCCACCAACATTTTAGAGGTGCTTTCGCATGAGAGAATCAAAGTCCTAGGGTTATGCTGCAGCAGGAGGAGGAAGAGGGATCAGATCTGTGTATGGCAGAACTAAGTTTACTCCTGAGATTTTAGCACATGGGGAGTTACTTTAAGACTGGGGACAAATCTGACCTTCCTGGCTTCTCCAAAGGGCCATATCCCATTCCCCAGACACTGTCACTTTAGGATGTTTTAGCTTTTTATATAAAACTTTTCCTAGTATTAAACAATTCAAACTAATCAAATGGTTAGTTACTAGCAACTACTGTAAGCTGAACTATCATTGATTGATCCCAGCCTTTACTTTCTAAACCAGTGGGACGTGGTTCTTGAGAATGCAACCCAAAGAGGCTTCTTAAACTTTGTGTAAGCATTCTGTCACTAACATAACTGATGTGTCTCATTGCTACATGCCTTGTTCTTTGTGTTCCTAAAAGAACCATAGTGGTTTGCATTTAATATCCTGGAACAACCTAAATTTTAGGATCAAAATATGTATCCCAATGAAATCAACTTGCAAATAATTATTGGCTTTGCACAGAGCTCATCCATGTACGCAAATGAGCTAATACTTTTGGACTGGGACAAGGAAGATAATGTTCCAATTTGATGTTTTTGTTTGTTTGTTTAAATTTTAAAAACAGTTTATACATTTTAGCAATCAAATGGTCATCCCCAGAAGGTTTCAAATTCTGGTTTAGAAGTTACACATCCAAATACGTTTTTGTCCATTTTAAATTGTTCTCCAGTGTCTCTGTAAGCAAACCATTGTATTGTAGACCTCTCTATCATTAACCCTTCTCTTGTATTTAACCTAAAGTATTCGTTATACAATAATAACAAATGTTAGTAAGATGATAATTTCCCTTCCAAAGAGATTTAGCTTTTAAACCAGTGATTCCCAAGCTTCACTTGGCCAGGGACCACTTTGACCAGGGACCATTTTCCAACATTAGTACCAAAAGGGTTACAAATCGGTTTTTTGGTCAACTTTAGATTCGGTTTAGTTATTTGGGATGCTGATTCATAAAATTGCATTGGACAGACCACATCAGCTCTAGTTTCTGATACAGAACATATGCCACCCAGTAGTCACATCTGCCCACCCACAGGAAATGATATTTAATAATCTAGAGCTGATGTGGTCGTAGTAATCTTTTGTGAGTAGTCAGCCTCTTCCCTCCTGACATTCCTGTTGTCTCACCCTATAAGAGGGTTTCGCGAGACCAGTTGCTCTCATTGCCACATGTTTTTGAGGCAACGGTGTAGTAATGGTAAGGCCGCAGACCATATTTTTGATCTGCGGATCACTGGTGGTCCACGGACCACAGGTTGGGAACCACTGTTTTAAACAAAAGCTTCATATGGAGAATAACATAATGACATTCCATTGTTCCAATAGTGACCTTCTGATGAAGTGACTGTGAAAGCTTGAATCTGTGTTTATTTTAGGCATGCATCCCAAATATTATAACTGTGATAATCTTTTGCTTCTCAGGGTTCACCAATCCTTCAGTTGTGTCAAACAGAAAATTAGGGACACCCATTCTTCCTCTCCAATTTGATGTTTCAAGCATTGAAAGTTTCAGCTGTTGGAAAGTAAGTGGCAAAAGGGCAGGAGTACGGATTGCCATGGTGCATGACAAGAAATATATGTTGTTAGACAAAGCTGGGCAGAGCAGAGAACCTTTGCGCTTCATTGTGGTAATATTCATACAGATCCTCTTTGAGGAATCATCTCTGACATATTTCCAGGCTTTTCTATATTTTCATGTGGATGACAAACTAGTGAAAGCAGCATTTCTCATCCAAATGCAACAAGATAGGGATTACCTTGTCTCGAGGGGGATGTTACTATTGAGTAACCAGTTGTCCTGAGCATGCGTAGACTCCTGCGTCCCGGGCTGCTGCTCTCCGGAAAGGGAGTGGTCGGTGGGCACAGGGCTAGGATTGCTGCGTGGGGTGAAGTTCCCTCGATTTAGGGAGTTGATGGAGGCCGCATGATGCTGGTTTGGGGTGTGAGTGTGGGAGAGCGGAGGCGGGGGAGTTCGGAGCCTGGAGTGGTTCTGGAGACTTGCTGGATGATCTGCGGGGAAAACAAACCAATCAGGTGTGAGTCCTGAGAATTAGGCTGTGTGGAAGTTTTTAAAGGACTATCTAAAACGCATACATTTAGGGGTGCATCTATTTTTGGAAAATGTGAATTTCCATAACCATTTGGGAAATGGGGTTCATAGCCTTTTTGGAAAGTTAGTGGTCACTGGAAAGGCATGACCTTGTTAGAGAAGTCGCAACATTTTGAAAAGTGATGTTCACCACCCCTCTCAGCCCACAAGCGACTCAGGGCGGTTTACAGTCAACATCAAAGCATAAGAATACAATAAAAACAATTAAAATAATATAAAATCATGATGAAATCAATAAAAACATAAGTCATATGAGTCTCCTTATTAAAACATTGTCCAGTCAGTCCATTTTCCTATGTCCATTACGCTGTACTTGCAAACGCTTGCTCATAAAGCCAAGTCTTAACTTTCTTCCAAAATGTTAAAAGGGACGGTGCCGATCTAATGTCCCTAGGAAGGGCATTCCATAGCCAAGGGGCCACCACTGAGAAGGCCCTGTCTCTCATCCCCGCCAAACGTAATTGTGACACAGGCAGGATCGAGAGAAGGGCCTCCCCAGATGATCTTAAGTCCTAGAAGGTTCATAAGGGGAGATGTGTTCAGACAGGTAAGTTTATTTATTTATTTATTTACTTCACTTGTATACCACTCTTCTCAGCCATCAGGCGACTCAGATCGGTTAACAACCAGTATCAGCAACACGGTACAAAAATCATTAGTCATTTAAAACAGTAATATCAATTAATTAGCATCAAAAACATCAAGACAATACAGCAATACAACAATACAGCAAAACAACAATCCATCACGTCTCATCAATAGAATCAGCATCTGATCTCGTTGTCCATTAATCCATATTCCAGTAATCAATCAATTGCACTGTTTAGTTAAACGGCTGTTCGAAGAGCCAGGTCTTCACTCTCTTCCGGAATGCCAGATAGGAGGGGGCTGATCTGATGTCTGTAGGAAGGGCGTTCCACAGCCGGGGGGTCACTACTGAGAAGGCCCTGTCTCTCATCCCTGCCAGGCGTGCTTGTGAGGCCGGCGGGACCGAGAGCAGGGCCTCCCCAGACGATCTTAACGTCCTAATTGGTTCATAGGAGAGACAGGGCCTTCTCGGTGGTGGCCCCTCGGCTATGGAATGCCCTACCAGCGGACATCAGGCAGGCCCCTTCGTTGCTGGTGTTTCGGAGGAGGGTTAAGACGTGGCTCTTTGAGCAGGCGTTCGGATAGCTGTGCAATTGCAATTAAATCCAGGAAGACGGCATAACTGAACAAGGAACGGCAATGGAATGTGAGAACGGAATCTGATTTTATGTGAGGCGTTGATGTCTATATGTGTGTCGTTTGTGTATGTTTGTCTTTACATTGTTAGTGTGCACAACTTTTACTGTAAACCGCATTGAGTCGCCGGTCACAGCTGATAAATGCGGTATACAAATAGCGTAAATAAATAAATAAATAAATAAATAGGAGGAGATGCGTTCGGACAGATAGGTCGGGCCAGAACCTATCTGTAAGTTGGGCCAGAATCATTTAGGGCTTTATAGGCTAAAGCCAGCACTTTGAATTGTGCCCAGTAGCAAACTGGCAGCCAGTGGAGCTGGCGCAACAGAGGAGTTGTATGCTCCCTGAGCGCTACTCCTGTTAGCAATCTGGCTGCCATCTGTTGGACCAATTGAAGCTTCCGGACAGTCTTCAAAGGCAACCCCACGTAGAAAGCGTTGGAGTCTATACGGGATGTAACCAGAGCGTGGACTACCGTGGCATTTATGCAAGGCAACTAAAGTAGTTATCTCAGCTGTTAAACTGATGTACTTAGGTCTGTCTTTGACCTGCTAGGGACAAAGACATGCCAATGCATAAAAACATATATTCAGCAGAGTTTCAGAAGTGTTGTTTGAAGTCGCCCAAAAACATCGACTCTCTATTAAAATATATTTGCCTTTAAATTATGATCTCAAGAGACAAAATAAACAGTCCACTTTAAAAGCAACAGTTGGTTTACTCACAAAATTTCATATATACAGTATACAGGCACTTTGCTTATGAACCCAGTTACAATAGGATTTTAAGTATGTTCTCTGTCTAGGTAACACAAGGCATCTACCACAGAAACAATAGTCCATAGTCCAAAACATGATAGCTCTGTTTTGAGAGTCTCAGGGCCCTTCCACACTGCAGAACATCCCACACTATCTGTTTCGAACTGGGTTATTGTTGTGATTATTGCTTGTATTGTTGTGTTTGGGCTCGGCCTCATGTAAGCCACACCGAGTCCCTTGGGGAGATGGTAGCGGGGTACAAATAAAGTGGTGTTGTTGTTGTTATTATTATTATTATTATTATTATTATTAATATTATCATCATCTGAGTCCACACTCAGATAATGTGGGATATTCTAGGATATAGAGCTGTGTGGAAGGGCCTCAAGAAGTCTCTAAGCATACTGTTACTGGGTTGTTGTAGGTTTTTTGGGGCTATATGGCCATGGTCTAGAGGCATTCTCTCCTGACGTTTCGCCTGCATCTATGGCAAGCATCCTCAGAGGTAGTGAGGTCTGTTGGAACTAGGAAAAAGGGTTCATATATCTGTGGAATGACCAGGGTGGGACAAAGGACTCTTGTCTGCTGGAGCTAGGTGTGAATGTTTCAACTGACCACCTTGATTAGCATATAAAGGTGATCAGTCAACCCAGTGATTCTGGCCATGAAAGCCTTCGACAATACATACTGTTACTGCACTGATGTCTAAACCGAACTCAATGCTTCTGATGGAAACAGGTGGCTTCTACTCTCTCTAAGGGCCCTTCCACACAGCCCTATATCCCAGATTATCCATTGGGCTTGGAGATAGGATATTCCACTGCCAAAGAGTTGTAACCACTAGGAAGTTATTCTTAATGATATCCAGCTGTCAAACCTCTACATGTTGGCTCTTAGCTGACTATTTTGAGTCTGATTTGGGTTTGACTAATAATGATAATTCCTATTGTTAGCCAAACCCATGTCAGACTTTACTTACTTAAAAAAGAGTTTTGTGGATTTCACTTGCATCGCAGTAGAAGTTACAAATAATACCTTTTGAATCGAAAAAAATGTGCCATTTCTGCTCTCTGTTTACATATGATCTCCAATTTCTCCGCTAAATGTAAGACAGCACATTTGTCCGACTCCTGCCAGTGTGACTTCCTGCCTCCAACCGGGACCTTTAATGCGCATTCCTTTCTGGGTAGTCATTTACCCTTCCACACTTCCCCCTTCAACCTGAGCCCTTTAAACTGTATTCATATACACTTATGTCATGTTTCAGCATTGGAAATGTAATATTCCTTGACTAGGATCAAAACAGATTTCTGCCACTTTCCTCTCCACCTTCCCGCTTTCAAAATTCTCAGACAGGGAGCCCTTAACAAAACAAGCAATGAAATCTGAGTAGTGGAGGACTGCAAGGTTTTTTGAGAATACATATATAGATACCCTCATCTTTATTTATTTGATTGATGTCCTGCCTTTCTCCCAGAACTATGATCCAAGAGCATTACAATTTTAAATGGAACAGATCAAAATAATGCAGTAAGCTATATTAAGAACAGACAAGTTATAATGTTGGGACACAATCTAATTTCACAGCGTTTTAGCATCACCCCTTTAAAAATATTTAATTATAATTTAAAATTATAGATTGAAAAATGTAGCATTCCCTGTGCAAGTCCTCTCCTCAGTAGGAAGTCACTTATCAAAATAATCTATATAAATAAAAATGTAATTTTTGTTTGTGGGATTAACATAACTCAAAAACCACTGGACAAACTGACACCAAATTTGGACACAATATACATATCAGGCCAACGAGCAACCATTACTCATAAAAACACTGAAAAACACAGCAGAAGGGACTTAAAAAGCCAACCCCCCCCCTGAAAAAAATACATTACAGTGCATGCACAAACGCACATATATATATGCAAACACATATACACATATACACAAATATATACACACACATATACACATACAAAACAAATATACACAGACTGGGCCACAGCAACACGTGGCAGGGGATGGCTAGTAATATATTAATGTTATCTCTCTCTCTCTCTCTCTCTCTCTCTATATATATATATATTTGTCTATACAGTGAAGGATGACCAAATCATGCCCATCTAGGCAACCCCTCTTTCTCAAGAGATGGTTTTACATTGTGGGTACAATATTCAGCTTCAGGCTTTGCAAAAGGGAATAAATAGCTTTCCAACCACATGAGAAATGGCTTCAGTAAATTCAGAAAAAGCACAGTGGCCATACTTGGAGTGTTGAAGACCTAAACAGTAGGGTTGTGCAAACCAGATAAACCTTGGCCTGTTTCTGTGTCCCAGCTCTCCATTGGGGCCCCAATTTGTTTTTTTGGGAGCCGCCCAAAATTGAAAGGGCAGATATCTGTTTTCGCTCTGGGGTGCTGAAAGATCCATCAGCCATGATGGGGGGGGGGGTGGTTTCCAGGCTCCCCTTCCCATCATAGGCATTTAAGCTGTTTCTACACTAGAGGAGAGCCACTCAGCTGCTTGCAGGCATGTGCTTTAAGGAGGCTTATCAGTTTCTTACTCTAGAGTTAGTGCTCGACTGCAGGCATGTGTGCGTGCTTTCTGGGCTGCACACCAGATACACAGTCCATAAGGCAAGGAGGCAAGGCAAGTTCTGTTTCTTACTCTAGAGGAGGTGCTCAGCTGCAGAGGGGTGCATGCACTTTCTTGGTCTGCATGCCACACACACACATACACTTTCTCTCTTTGCAAAGTAAGGAGGCAGCTCATCAAAAGCAGGCAAGGAGGCAGGATTGGCTTCTGCTTGCTTTTGTGTCGAGCTGATTTTTTGTACCGGGAGGGGGTTTCCCGTTAAGTGTTCCTGATGTAGTGAAAGAATGGATGTAATGAAAGAAAACAGGATCCGCCACGACTCTA